CCTGCCTGACTACTGGGGTGCTGTATCATTCCCAGCCCAGGTCAGACGTGCGTCTGGACCAAAGCAACCTTTCCCACAAATGATCAATGTCGGGTACTGCACGCGGAAGACCTGAGTTTAATTCCCAAATGGGAGGAGTTTTCATCCCGTATCTCGGTCTTTCATCGTATCCCTCTCAGAGTCTGCCCTGGCAGACAGGGACAAATCCGCCTACGAAATGATTTATACAGGGTTTATTTGGTGGGGGGCGGGAGCAAACCTCTCCAGAAAAAAGCAACAATTTTAATCCCAGTTGCGCTTTAGGGCGCTCTCTTTAATAATGAACAATGGAACCAGAGTCAATTCGATGAATGACAAACTGGTAGAGGGTGCTGTGTTCAGCACACTTGATGAGTTTAGGTTTAGACTTGTTTCAACGATACAAATCAAGCTTCCTAAATTTTGAAAAGATACAAGTATTTTAATTTAGATCATTGGCCTTCCGCAAAGTTTTTGCATAGATGTAAATCAAAGTTGTTTGGGTTTTTTCACTTACAAATATGGCCATTTCTCCAAAACAATGTGAGATGATATTTTAGAAAAAAAAACCCCAACAAAACAAAATAAGTCACCAGGAACGGTCATTCAATGCAAAAATGCATTAAACTACAAAAGTAAAATAATTGCCAATGCTGATCCTTTCCTTTGGCATACGCACAAATGGTATGTAAATGATAATTTCAGTTGAGGTCATTCCCCGAAAATAGAGGTACACGTTCACAGGAAGCTTGTCTACGTCATACGGTAACAACTTCCTATAGGGAAAGAGCAAAGAAATAGCTATCTGAATTGGAAGTTGTTAGGGGACTGTTCAGCCCCCATAGCGTTACCCACTGGGGGACTGTGCTGCCAATAGTGCTGCTTTGAGCATTGGGGACTGGGGACTGCAAAGAAACACACACTCACCCCAAGCAGTCGGTGATGAAACCAACTTCGGGTCGCTTAGTGACGTCGCCCATCACGCGCTAATCGTCAAAGCGGGCCTGCCACATCGTGGGACAAAAGCCCAAAGAAGGATTGCAATGTCTTGGAAGTAGAGAATATTTAGTAATACTAATACTAGGCTTACAACTAGATCTAGATCTAAACTAGATCTAGGCGTAGATATTATAGACACAGACAATAATTTTTTTTTAATTGAAAAAGTGTAGACCTACCTTGTAGTGTAGTCTACAGTCTATATCATAAGTACTACTAGATCTAGAATCTAGATCTTGATAGATCCTACACCAACAAACCTGTCGATATTAATAATAAATTCGCCTTAAATAAAGTGTTTGGCTCTAGATGTAGATTCTCCCACCATACTAATTAACTTAACTAGATCTAGATGCTTAAATGAGATCTAGATATCTAGATCTACCATGTAAGAACTATTACATGTACAATATTGTAGTCTTCGTCAATTCTACTGGATCAACAAACCTTTCAACATTCACCTTTCACCAAAAAAAAGAAACAGTGGGTGGCTCTATCATACTCATTAACTTTTTCAAACTGAACATCGATCGTAACGGCCAAAAACTCCGTCAACAGTCAAATCGGACGCAATGTTGTCAATTTGTGATTGGAGTCAGGGGAGGAAATTTAAATGTTGTTGATGTCTGATGGTGGCTTGTTGACCTCAATTCCAAGGTCAAAGGTTGTTTCTTTGCAGTCCCCCTATGCACAAAGCAGCGTTAGGGAACTGTGCAGTCCCCCAGTGGGTAGCGCTTGGGGACTTAACAAGTTCCATCTGAATTACCTCGATTTCACGGAAACAAAGCGCTCGGAATGCCGCGAGTCGGCTAACGTGCCTTGTTCATGTTTCCTAATTATGCGTTTGCAATAGCACTATAAACACACGAGCGCGCACACACATACACACACAAATACACACATACACAAATACACACACACACACACACACACACACACACACACACACACACACACACATTCACACACACACACACATGCACATAGACCGCTTGGTGGCCTTGGGAGATCTAGAGGTAGAAAAACCCACTTAAACAGCCCATAACTGAGCTAGCAGGGAACACCTACACAGTCAGCTGTATATGTAAACAAGCTTGAAGTGGGCTAGGAGTTGTCGTTCAAACCCCGAATAACCAATCAGAGCCCTCAGCCGTTCATAAAAACGCTTGGCCTACGTTGTTTATATTTCAACCCTTCTTGCTCGAAAAGGGGTCTAAATCTAAAAATAGGGGCGAATGAAGGACGTAGAAGCAATGTGGCCAAAAATTCTCCACTACCAAGATATTGCAGTGGGTCAGGGGGATATAAATAGACCCACTGCTTAGTCCTTGTATCCCAACCCTCTGGGATCTGGATACGACATCTACTTTGGTGTATCTTCCTCTTCTCCTTCCTTCTTTCTTTCTTCTTCTATTTTTTCTCCCACCGCTGACCTCATGAGCAGCAAAAAGAGAGGTCACCCATCCCAAAGAATGGGCGCCTTGTTGACCGTGAGGTGCGACCCGTGCGGAGGGAAACCAGGTACCTAGAGGTTGAGGTGAGATCAGTCTACGTATTGTCCCTCACCAACACACCTCTTTGGCCCAGGTTTTCCTCTTAGACGGGAGGGTGGCAAGGCCCATGCCACTCAATCGGTTGAGAGCTGAAACCCCTTCAAGCCCTGGGTCAATCTTGACGGGAGGGTCTTGTACTTTCTCGTGAAGTATTGTTCCGGGGCAGCCCAGGCACAGCTCCGGTTATCCTAGCAATGTGTCCCCTTGTTGGGCTCGGTGGCGGGCGAGAGGAGCCCCGGAGTCGAATCAACAACAAAACTCCGATGGATACTAAAAACTAAAAAAGGCCCTTCACCAGCTCCCAAAGGAAAAAAATTCCAGGCTCGCGGAAGCGGGTTCGGCCGCCGAGCCGAACAAAAATGTAAAAAACGGAAAAAGGACCTTTACCGTTGCACAGGGAGCGTCCGAAGCAGCCGCACGTGGCCATCAGCAGTAAGGAAGACGAACAGAAGAAGATCACTGATCTGAGCCTGTTCAAGACGGGAGATGTACTACGACAGGTTCTGGGATGCATTCCTACGAATGTTCAGAAGCTGTCCTCTGGTGTACTCCTTGTGAAGTGCGCAACAGAGACTGAAGTGGCCAAACGGATGACATCCTCCCTTTCAGACCCCCACCAACAGGAGGAAGGAGTCCCCCAGGGGAGAATCCTTTCTCCTTTCTTCTTTGAAATAAAAAAAGATTCCATCGTAAAAAAAAACACTCCAAAACAGCATAGACGGCTTGTTATAAGTTGACGAATTTGGTATATGCTGCCGTTAAAAAAAGTCGTCATCTAAGATCTATGGAAAGGCAGCTGCAAACGCAGTTGCACAAACTCGAAAAGAGGGCAAACAATAACGGTTTCAAGTTTTCCCCGTCAAGGATGGTTGCAGTACATTTCTGCCGAACAGGCAGACGAGTACTGCAGCCGGATTTGACACTATATGAAAAGATTCCAGGATCAGGCTCGTTTCCTCGTCGTTATATTAGACAAAAAACTCACATTCATACCACACATTAAAGACCTTCGTGTGAGATGCCAGAAAGCGATAAACACTTTGAAAATTCTATCGCTTCCGGAGTGGGGCGGGGACTCAAAACACCTTCTCCACTTGTACATCTCCCCTGTCCAATCCAGGCTTGACTACGGCTGTCAGGTCTACGGATCGGCAAAACCACACATCCTAAAAATGCTAGACCCAGTGCAAAACCAAGGACATTTTGGCCCTTTTCAAAATACAGTACGTGTCGTACTTGTAACCTGCCTTTTATTACTTCTTCCCTGCCAGTATAGTGAATGTTTTTAACCCCTGAAACTAAATAAAACTACATCGATGTTGGAGGATTTTCTATGACACGTTTCATCCCCTGGACGGCCTACAGTACAGCACCGGTGGATAGCCGACAGGATCAGAGGATTGTCCAAATCGACTGTGCTGAGAAACAAGAAGCGTTGAATGATTAACCTCAAAAGGGATTTGTCGTTGAAAGCTGTCTTGGCCTATTTAGAAGTATTAAAAAACAACCACCTATTATGACTGAAAATTTAGGAGAATACCCTTTTAAACCTGAAAGGAAAGTTTCATGTTAATTGTTTAGGTTTCTCCCAAAAACTTACCTTGGACATGTCTAATGGTTCCTGAAAATATACCTATGAATTGAACTTTTGCTTGTAATTGGCGTAATACAAGCGGAAGCAATTTGTTTGTTTCAGAGTCATTTGAAGGTTATACTTCCTTTTCAACCAGTATTGTTCATTTATCTTTTCTCACACCAGTGTACGGAACACCTGCACCAGCAGATCAAATACTCGAAAGGGTGTGAGGTCCAAATTCCTTTATCGTGTCACCCAAGCTCACGACAAACCACATGGACACACCTCCGAAATATATCAAAATGGAATACTAATGATTAAAGTCTATTATAGTTGTTTATTCTGATCGTAACCCTGTCCGTACGTCGTGTTTAACTGTCGTATCCATACGACTTGAGGAACTCTGTGCCACCACTTTCCAAAGAGGAAATTTATTCGTTAATCCGTCCCGTACGCTTTGCATAGCAGTCTGTCAAAATGATATTTTGAGAAATATTGAAAGTTTCAAAGAGATCTTCGTATTAGAAGTATTCTAAAATGTGAAGAATACAACCCCAGGGGTACAAAATGACCCCAGGGGTACAAAATGACCCCAGGGCGTACGGATAGGGTTAAATGAAGCAGAAGACATTAAACTTTCAATAGATAAAAAAAGGAATTTCATGGAAAGGCACTTATCTACCTTTCGAGCCTCGTTGCTCCAAATAGCACATTGTGTCTTACGACTGATTATGACCGGGGCAGACAGATAATTCATATTAATTAATTATATTATTTACTTCTCTTTGACTTACTGCAGCAACTGTGATCCAAAGGAATGCCCAAACCGGAAAAAGTATAACATTACCTTTATGGTGACGTAGAGCACACTAGTGTACATAGTCATTCAATGGAGCTTATTTGGGGTGTGTGGGATCAAGACAAAGGGTTTCTTCTTCAATAATTATAGGTATAGGCCTAGTATCTTTACTTGTGTATTTTATTTTAGTAGATATCTAAATTGAGACCATTGTGAAGTATTCTACCTTCCTAATAATTAATACAGGATTATGTAACAGTGTTTAAAATACCGTATTGTGCAATACTCCTCTACTTTTGGTCACTAGATCTAGAGTCTGTTAGTCAATATCTGAAAATTGGAAGAAAAATTGTTTTTCCAATCACTACTTTTACGACATCTCGTTCGATTCCGGCGTGTGGTAGATTATTGCGTTGAATGTCTACCTCTATCTGCTGGGATGATTGATCCAATTTAGTTCGGCTTGGCATTGGAAGCTGACTGCTTTCTGAAATGATTGTCGGTGATGGCGTATTATCACTCAGTAGGCTACATTCCGTCAGTCTAGAAACCTGGTTTTAAGAGAACAATTCCAGAAGCCTATTTGGGTTACATTGTGCAGATCCCCTTGATAACGGTTCCATTGCGCGCAAAAATGTTATGTTATCTTCCCGGTGAACACAATTAAGATCATTTTAGAGGTGGGCTGTTTCACATCCCATTCAAAGGACAAAGATACTCGATAAAATAGACTTCCTTTCACAGGAACTGAAATCATATCTGTTGCAATACATGGCGAAAAACTTAGCCATTACATCACACACACCCGTGTGATTGATTTGCTGATTGTTTTTGTTGTTGTTATTGTTATAATTGTTGTTATTATTATTGTTGTTAAATTGCTGTTGTTGTTGTTTTGTTTGGTTTTTTGTGCAGGTAGGTGTTTATTTTCGTTCCCATTAACACAATTAAGATTATTTACAAAATGATTTTCGACCCTGTCTGTTAAGGCCAACCCCGACTGAAAGGCATAAAATGTCCCAGCAGAAAGACCGAGATGCTCGATAGAAATTCTCAATGCACGGGAATTGAACTCGGGTCTTCTGACTCCTACGGCCAAGCACATTATAATATCCGCTACACCACATACGCGGGTTGCTATGGTTTATGCTGGGATTGATACGGAAGTTAAACGTTGGAACTTCCTGCACTTGAACTCAGTACTTCGGGGACGACAATATGCCTGACCACTACACAACAGACAACAGACATTGTTACGAAGGATAAGAACGCTTCAAGAAAGGATCAAATCGAAGAATAATTAATTTATAATCTCTTGCTCTGTCATACTCATCTCACAAATCTCTCCTTGCGCTCTTCTACCTGTGCACAGGGTTGTGACAACATGTTGCACAAGAAGACCACAAGGATTCATCCTGAACACAACACGGTCACCGTCACTGAAGGCCCTGTATACACCCCAATCTCCACCTTGTGGCAAGTGAAGCAGTGCCTGGCGCTAGAACTCCCTTTGTTAAGACCACATCTGTTGACTCTACCTCCTCGACCACTGCCCCTTCGTCAGCATGAGCCGTCACGAGTGCACGCTATCGACGGAGATGGGAATTGTTTGTTTCGTGCCTTATCGTGGGCAGTCACCGGAAGTGAACGCCATCACCGGAAGGTGAGACAGATCCTCGTGCGTCATTTGGTCGCCCACGCCAGGACGTTTTCCATAATCTTGCCCGGCACGGGTTCTGCTCGGACCAGAGCTAGGTATGGTGCGCCGTGTGAATCCCTAGATAATCTCTTATATTATTATTCAAAGTTTATTTTGCTTTTCTCGCCTTCAATACGTCCACGAACGCAAGTCACGCAAGTCACGCAAGTCTCTTACTCTTAGACCAGAACTTAGTCCTTACTTTCAAAAAAGGAAGAGAGAATAATACAAATAGAAAAAAAATGAAACAATCCAAGTAAAATATCGTTTTTCCACGTTTAACAGGTTACACGATATCTAAAAATAGACAGATTCGTTTCAGTATAGGCCTAACTTCCTAATTAGATCCCCCCTTTCCACCAAAAAAAAAGCTAGCGCAGAGGATTTTTTTACTTTTAAACCTCACTATTATTGTGTAAAGATTTTTTCTGTAAGCCCATTGATATCAATACTGTTGATTAATGACTTAAATGAATAAATGTGGAAAAAAATGATTAAGTGCTCGTCAACTCTGTTTATTTTCTTTCCTTACATAGGTGCTACGTGCTCAACTCCAAAATGGACCGACAGGGCACCTGGGGTTCTGATGTTGAGATCCTCGTCGCAGCTCACCTCCTCAAGTCCGCCATCTTTGTTTATACGAAGTGCGGAGACTCCTGGCAGTGGGTCCAGCATGACCTTGACCTTACCTCCCCGAAAAGCAGGCTAAGTAAAGAGTCTGTGTACCTCGTCCATACTGATCTGACTCACTATAACGTTGTGACCGACATTCGTTGTCTTCTGGGGCAAGGGGAATCTGGGACTTCTGTAAAGACATCAAATATAGTCCAAGGTGTGAACGACAAAGAGTACTTTG